TCTGTCAACAGCTGTGTTTTATATTTCTATTCAGTTAATACAAAGTTTGTAACTTATTGACGAATTTCGGCGAAAATCAGCTGCTTTGACTGTGGCACGCCTTTAAAAGGCCAATCTTACTACATAGTGCATTATTTGTTAAGCCACCTTTATTATATAATAACTCGTGACTCGCTATTCTCATCCCACGCCCCCCCCCCCCCCAACCTGGTGAGAATAGATCCCACCCCGGTGTGGGCATGAGGCGAGGACTCCTCCCTGACCTCTTGCAGGCCGATAAATCACCTAGGTCCTTGGTGGCTTAGCCTACCGCATGTGGTTGAGAACGAATGATAATAATGTAAAAACATTTTACGCCTCTCCAGTAAGAAAAACAAGCTCACTACTGATGCTACTGAGCGGGATTTGGGACCGGCCGACGGCCAGACCATTCGTTGTTTACACACTTAACGATGGCAGGCCTCTCACTCTCTGCCTGCACAAAATAAATTTATGGTTCAAGGAACAGAGGGCGTGCAAAGACGTAACTTGACACATGTACGAAACTATAAATGCTGTTACTCCAAGGTAGAAGGGTTGTAAATTATTCAGACCAAATGGGCGAGGGCGTTAAATCGTGTTAACTAGTTTAATAATTAAACAATCCAAGCTCTTTTTTTTTCACTTTCATTTTTTTTTCTTTTATTTTTTTTCTTTTTCTTTTGCCTCTTCTTTCCCCTTCTTGAACATTTGGAGTTTGGAGCCAAAAAAGAGCCAGAGAGCCAAATGAAATTATCCGAGCCAGACACGATCCAAAAGAGCCAAATTTCTGGGATTTGGCTCCAAACTGACATCCCTGACTGTGACAGTGACTATTCGGACACGAGCAGTGACTAACATGATGCTGTGAAGCATCAGCCCTGATTCCCCCCCCCCCCCGGGTCATGCCCGCTAACCTCAGCCCTGAGCCCTCTAAGGTCATTTCCGGTAAAACGAGCGGATGAGAATAGCGAGCCATTGGTTATTCTCACCCGGGGTAAGCTTAAACACTTCCTTTCCTTAATATTATTATAGTTTTGTTTGGGCTTCGCCAAAGGTGACATACGGATTACATAATTATGTAATTAGTGTTGCAAAAAATAATAGTTAGAATCCAGATTTATTTCTGATCCTCAATCTGACATCGACAGGCTTGAAATTTTTTATTTTTTTAAAGAGGAGACTCTGTGCCACTTAACTGGTCATTTGAACTTCATGGTCTGGATCTGTTCAGTCAGCTGATATCAATATGGAATAAAAAGCTACCTACATTCGTTGTGGTGGTAGACCATGATTTATCCTACTTGTGAAATTGCCAGTTGTAATCAATAATTATTGTTGAAAGTCGTGATTAGAACTTGGCATTTTCACTGGCAGGATAAATCATGTTCTCCCACCACAACTCATGTGGTAAATTCTTTACGATACATAATTGCACCCTGACGTATTCCAGGTTCACTTTGGTGCAAACCTTTTGACTTAATTAATTCGTTATCAAATTAAGGGCAATAAAGAAAGGTTGCGCGAAGCCTCGACTAAAGCGATTCTAGAAGGCTCGTATTTTGCACTTCATTTGTGGGCGCTTATGGTTAGCGTGAGAGCGCTTTGCAGCGAAGTATTTATAGATGCCAAGAGCGGCTGCCATAACATTGCATGGTCTAGGAATATTATTTTTTTAAATTACTACATGAGTAACAGTTACGGTGGTAGATCATGATTTATCCCACGTGTGAAATTGCCAAGTTGTACTCCCGTAGGATAGAGCATAGTCTACCACCATAACGAGTGCAATCAACGTTTTATACTGATATCAGCTAAAATCGGTCCGAACCAACAAAGTTTGAAAGACCATTTAAGTGATCAAGTGGCCCCACTCAAGATTCTCACATGTAAATAAAATATTCATGCCCGTCAGAGTTAGAGAGAATGGGGATTAGGAGAAATCTGGATTCTTTATTTAATTTTGGCCCCCTTAATTACATATTATATCCGTATTTCTCCCTCCGCGAAATAAACCCCAAAACAAAATAATAATTATAATGTAAGCATGGGCAAAATAAGATGAAAATTGAAATTGCACGATCAAAAGGTGGGAGATAAGAAACTTCGTCTACATACAGACTTCAACATAAGCAAAGGACCACTTGCAAACACTCTGAGTGGTCTTCTTAGGTCGACCTGCACGTGGGCGTACTTGAACTGATCCAGTGGCTTGATGGCGCTGCCTCAGGCGGACAATGACAGAGTGTGACACTGCAAATCTTCTGGCAACTTCTTGGGCCCCAACTCCATCCTGCAGCTATGCCATAGCCCTGGCACGATCAAAGTCTCCCAGCTTTTGTCTTGGTGGCATGTTGATGTGATACTGCGTTTTGAGCAAACGTTGGCTTATATTACCACCAAAGTGAGCACAGTTCGAGATCGTACATCTGTTTATGACGTGCAAAAGAAATTTTAACGGAGGAATGTCCCTCGTGTCGCTCACAAGTCGATAAAAAACAGAAAATTTGGCTAAAACTCCCTGATGATTTCCGTGCTGCACATGGTGGTTTTGCCCGTTTAGGAAGCTTTGCAGTACGCATTGGTAACCCTTTACACTTTCAGAGCAACAAAAATATTAAAAAATGAAGCATTCCTTACTGTCTTTTGTTCGGATTTTCTACAAATCAGGGCTGTCTATCAAGGTGGTCCTTAACTTATGTTGAAGTCTGTACCACTTGATATTAAACCTCGGCACCTAAACAATCCAAAGGCTAAAACGCTTTGCACGAGTAAGACGTGTGCATTAAGAAAAGATCTAATACCTCACTGCACTCTGTCGTAATTACGGTTCTCCATGGAGCATCTTAATTTGGAACTAAAAATTAAGTGCAGCAGAAAAAGATTGTGCATTTTCTTGACAATAGCAAAACTGTGAGACTGGTGTTTGGCACTAGATCTACATTTGGGCGCCCATGGTGGGTGCGCTTCGCAGCGAAATTTTTATAAAGGGCAAAGAGGACGCTGTCATAACAATGCACGGTCTTGGAATAATAATATTATAATTCAAGTCTATTTTTACTTGCTTGCACAGGGTTATTCATAAACAACAAATTTGTTTGAGGTGTTATTTGAAGGAATGTGATAAGATATGTGAATATAGAATGTGATTTGCTGGAAATAAGATGCCATGACATATTATAAGATAAGGCAAGTTGCATACTGTTAAATTTATCGTTGTTTTGTTCAGATTTGTGGATAAATGTGCTAATTAGTGAATTTTTCATGAAATAATAATAGTAGGTATCACAAAAAAGTCAAAATGTTTGAAAGTAGATTTTCTTTATTGAAACGAAAAAAATCAGTAGATATGATGAAATCCACCGTTTAAATAGTTAAAATTGGGCAAAATTCTTTTTAATTTATCAAGATTTTAATTCATTTAATAGATCTTAGAAAACTTTATTCAGCTTGCATAACAAGCAAAAACCGGGACTTTGAACAGTCAGACAATTATTTAATATCATGATGACAATGCACATACTCATTTTTAGGTCTCCATGCAGACAAAGACAATGATGAGGCATACAACAACTATTAATTCCAATCTTATAATTTCGAGTCAGTGAAGTCTGATGTTGGCTTTTCGGTCAACAATTCTTGCTTGTTACACCCCAAAAAAGGCCTTTTCAGAGGCCTGTTCCTTATCACAGTATCTACCCGGAGACGTCACCGACGGAGGTAGACCAATCAAAATCCGTTATGCCTCTGGACAAAGTTTAAAAAAATGTCTGGGGGTTTAACATTTTGTTTCTGACCTCATGGTCTTAAGATAAGATAAGATAATATATTATTATCCAAGAGGTAAATCTTTCTTGGCTGTACAGGACCGTAAAACACATGCAGGTATACTTTATAGTCTAAATCATATATTACTGTCATTAAAATTCAATACGAAAAGAATAGCAAAGCTGACGAAAAGTATATATTATCAAATCAGATGCACCATTCAACGACATGTAAGAGTTTAATTACAAGACATTTGGAGTTATATAGATACATACTCGAAAGAGCAATACACAATAATGCTTATTCTGATGCTAGATGGTATAAAAAAAACAACTTGTTATAACTTTCTTTCTTTGTTTTTAGAGGTACATATCTGCCGCTGCGTGATCAAAACGGCTAAAATATCAGTTAGAACTTTGTAATTCTAATCCACTGCACAGCCTGCAACATACTAGCCATCTTCTCGGAAAGGACTGTCAAGACCAAGAGTGAGGCAAAGTTTTGGCTGAAGGATTAACCCTCTTACTGCTCGGTAGAGACTCTTCGATTTCGAGTGTAGATATCTCAAAACCAATGTGGAGTCCAGCCATTGAACTTAATTGCTTCCATGTATTAGACGGCAGTGAATTTATGAACGGAAAAAGTGCTGGGGGGGGGGGGGGGGGGGCATGACTTTCTCTTCAACGCGTATATCTCAGTTTTCAGTTAGACAGGTGATCAACGAAACACTGCACGAAAGACGATGTACATACTTGGATAACATAATAATACTAGTCAGTATTATATTCCGATGTATAAAAAGTTCTGGGGGTTGGGGGAGGTGGGGGGTACCGATTTCTCATAATTACATTTTCATTTCTGTTGTCAAAGGTAGTTGATTGAGGTGGTTGATCGAGGTTGGGTTTTTTTTCTCAACAGTTCCGACTGTATGGACATTTCATTTCATGAAAAAGATGAAACATAAACTCAACTATCAGCAAATCTGAATGAGAACTATGGTGAACTTGACATGAACAAGGCGTGTTGAAAATCAATAAGCTACCCGATAGTATACCCCACTTTCCCAAAGTGTGTCATCATCATCCGATGCCTTGCCGACTGGCGTGGGCGATCATGGACCTCCACTTCACTCTGCCTTGCGTTGCAGCAATGGTGTCTGTTGTTCTTGCTGCTCCTGGCCATGTTGTCATCTTGTCCAGTATCTTTTCCCTCTGTCTGCCTCTGCCTCTTTTTCTATCAAACTTGCCTGTTGTTACAATATTCTCCAATGCTTCTTTCCGCATTGTGTGCCTGAAAAAATTTGCCTATCGCCACAGGGTGTAGTAAGGTTAAAAAGTCTTGGGTTCTTTGAGAAGTTACTTTCTGCCGTGTGTATAGCACCCCGAGCAAGAACTGGAAACAACTTTTAAAACATCATCCTTTGTTCTGAAATGTTGTTCTGTAATCTAAGTCGGAGCCTGAACGCCAGTCAGACGTACCTAGATATATTCTCTCACCATATCCGCCAGCTTACTGCCTTTCATCTTCTCTTCAAAAGCTTTATCATAGCGTTCGCTCTGATCCACAGTAAACCATTCGCGCCATCCACCAATCACTCCTTTGACCATCACACCATGACAGCCTTCGCGACCCAAAGCCTTTTCACTCTGCTTGTAAATGGGTTCCCTCTTTTTTTTCATTTGCGCAAAGCTTGTTGCTAGAGCAAGCTCTTCCACATCCACGTTCGGTCGGTCCAGGAAGTCACAAAGCTTCTTGATTTCGCTGACGGGGTCTTCCTTCATCTTCTCATACAGAACGACATGTACGGGGCTGTCTGGGTATTCCTTCATGAACTTCTCCATCTCGAGGACGTGGTCAAACCAGGATCCAAACGGGATCTCCCCGGTTAACTGGGAAAAAAGGATAGGTCAAGTGATTATGACAGAAAAAGATGATTATTGTGGAACGCTCACGCTCCATTCCCCTCAAAACGCGAGCGAAAAAGGAAAAGAGAAAGCGTTTTCTATTTTTTAAAAGTTATTTGCGACCTTTAACTTTAACCCTATCCGTACGTCGTGTTTTATTATCGTATTCATACGACGTGGGGAACTCTGCCACCACCTTCCAAAGAAGAAATTACTCGTTAATCCGATCCGTACGCTTTGCATAGCTGTCTGTCAAAATTATTTTTTGAGAAATACTGAACGTTTCAAAGAGATCTTCGTACTAGAAGTATTCTAAAATGTGAAGAATACAACCCCGGAGGTACAAAATGACCCCAGGACTTAAGGATAGTGTTAAATGAGTTCCATTTTTAAAGTGTCTTTCTCGCGCTTACTTCACAGTGAGTCAAATATGAAACTACACGAAATTTTGTTGTTGTTGTTGTTGTTGTTATTGTTGTTATTGTTGTTATTGTTTTTCTTCTTCTTCTTCTTTTTCTTCTTCTTCTTTTTCTTCTTCTTCTTCTTCTTCTTCTTCTTCTTCTTCTCCTTCTCCTTCTCCTTCTCCTTCTCCTTCTCCTTTTCCTTTTCCTTTTCCTTCTCCTTCTCCTTTTCCTTTTCCTTTTCCTTTTCCTTCTCCTTTTCCTTTTCCTTCTCCTTTTCCTTCTCCTTCTCCTTCTCCTTCTCCTTCTCCTTCTCCTTCTTCTTTTTCTTCTTCTTAATTCTCCGAATTAATATTAGCAAACATGAATATTATAGCTTGCATTTTTCAAGCTTCTGATCCGTCACCCTCTATAATAATATGTAAAAATAGAACGACCTCTGATTATAAGGAAGACCGGTGCGCCCCGAGGTTGTGTAGTTCCCCATGCCTTTACTTCAACTTCTGTACTTGTAATTACAAAAGCATTTAATTAATTAACAATTTCTTTCAAATTGAAACTTTTTAATGTACATCTAAGACTGTTTTTTTTAACCATTACTAAAAGCTACAAAAACATTTTCACCGGAGCAATTATGTGATAACGTCCTTTACCCAAAAATTAAATACAAAAATCCTAATTTACAACAAGACAGGAAAAGGGATTTAAAAATCATGGAAATCAAATATCAAACTTTGAAACAACTCATTTTTAAATTTCCTGCGGGATGGCATGAACTAATATTGTGCGTGTATTTCTAGACTCACTGAAACTCAAAGAAGTTTCCACATCTACAGACTCACCGATAGGTCTAGATGACGTCACTCTGCGGGCTAGACTGATAAGTCAAAGGACTACAGAAAGTACAACCTCAACGATAAAACCCGTGGACAAATTATCTGGCCAGCATGTCGGTTGAACACCATCACCCAACAATGAACCACGAAGGGGGAAAATAAACCGTAATACCCATGGCCACAATGGGGATAAAACCCTGATGACATCTTCAATCTTAGAGAAATCTCAGTATGACGCTGCGTTATCAAACTCTCAGCGGAGTTGTGCAGCCAACAAAGAAAGAAGAAACACCTCCAGCGACAATATTGCAAAGAGGACAGAAGAAAAATTAGGAGATGAACAGAAGGATGCATGTGGTTTGGGGTTTGCTTTGGAAAATCCAGACAAATATTTAAAGATCAAACTTTGCCGAGATCCCTGAAAAGACAAGTCTTCAATCAGTGCATTATTACAACAATAAGCTATGGGTGCCGAACTTGACCAATAATCAAAAATATCTTTTAGAAGTTGAGGATAACACAAAGAGTACCGGTAATGGAAAGGAAGATGCTGGGCATAAAGACACAAAGTCAAATAAATTACACGAAAATACGGGAGAAAACTTGACTGACCGATGTCGCCAAATTTGCACTACAATAAAAATGGAACCGGGCTGGTCTCATCGGAAGAATGCAGGACAACAGATGGACAAAAGGATGAACAGAATGGAGATCAAGAACAGGAAAAATACCACATAGAAGATGGCAGGGCGATATCAAAGAGCAGATGTATAAGACCTGGACGCAGATAACCGCTGATAAAATAGCGTGGAGTTCGTTGTTAGAGGACTACATTCTGAAGTAGAAGGACAACGCCAAGAAATAGAGAAAGAAAGTCTCAACGAAAACTCAAAGAACTTATCACTTTTATCGACTCACCGAAAGCTCAAAGAACTTTCCACTTTTATAGACTTACCGAAAGTTCAAAGAACGTTCCACTTCTATAGACTTACCGAAAGTTCAAAGAATTTTCCACTTCTATAGACTCACCGAAAGCTCAAAGAATGTATCACTTCTATAGACTCACCGAAAGCTCAAAGCACTCTTCCCACGTTCCTTCAAAACCATAGGGCGATATAAAATCTTTCAGCAGACGATACCACGACGCCAGTGCATCTTTTGGATTTCTCAGAATGTAGACTATTTTGACGTTACCCTGTCGAATTATTTCGGGAAGGCGCGACGCCCACGGATGTGAATTGATCAGTCTTGGAGCTGGAAGGCCGTGTATGCGTGACTCAACGTCATCGCCCATGAAATCCATGAGACGAAAAAGAAAATCATCTTTCTCGTTTCCAATGTCCTGATTCAAGATCGCCCCGATAACCTCAAAGGTCCAGTGATTCCCAGACCTGGGGTAACCGTTCAAGATGACGTCACTGTCGCCCAATTCTACATGTTTGATCTTGTGGAACATCCGTGGTGTATCTGGAACGAGGCCGAGTGTGGAGTACCTAACTCCCTCAAATACACAATCCTCACTTTTCTTCAGCTCCTCCCGGGCACGTTCAAGAATTTCCTTATTTGAGTATGACATGACGAGAATTCTACCTCTGTCCTGAAAAAGAAACCAAAAAAACAAACATTTGGAAGCGCCGGTTTCAATGAAGGTCAACTTGGTAATCTATCACTGTATAAGTTTCTATATTTGTTTCTCTTGGCGGTCTGCTACTCAA